GGGGGTTAAAAGTCACATTTCTCTGTCCCCTGTTACTGGGTGCAAGGCCCACATAAACACAAGGGGACACTAAGCTCCCAGTCCTGCAAGGTGTTTCACACAGGCTAACACCTCTGCTTCCATGAGCATCATAATACAGGCCTCACCTGCTACCTAGGAGCACAATGAAACTGAGCATCCACAAAAGTTGTCAAATACACAAAGTAAAAACAAAAAAAGCAGTTCTCTTTGTCTTGGGTGTTACTTCTATAGTAAATACAAGTGTCTCAACAGAAGCGTGATATTTCAGTTGCCCTTTAAATAGATGCAAAAAAGATTAGTCATGACATTAAGCATAGCATCCTCACTAGAGTCAATTGGTCCAAATTGTTCACAAACAAAATTCAAAGGATTTAAAATAAAAAAAAAAGTTTCTAAAATGTCTGCCCTGGATAACATTATGAAGAAGTTGCTTTCCCTGCAGTTAGCTATATAAGAATGCCCACTGGGGTTTCACAAAACTGGGAAACAGCAACATCTTACCAGCTGATCATACAGAGGGGTCACCAGCAACCTTAGGGAGCAGAAGAGGAAAGACACAACAGCTAATACCCTTCTTTTTAAAACCATTTCATACAATTTAACAAAATACTAATTTGCAGGCTAACTACAAATCAAACGGGACACCAATCAAAACACCTACCATGTTCCACGAAGACATTGCAATGTGGGCCTCCATGCCTAGATGATTCTTTCTTCCCTGCTCCTTTGATAAAGTGCAGGGCAGGCAGACTTGGCCTCCTCTGGTCCCCAAGAACTTTTCCAGGCTGCTGCCCCATAAAGTAACGATAGGCAATCTTTCCCAGGACAAGAAGGGTGTGGAGACAGAGATCCCTGATCTTCCAGGTTGGCAGAGAATTTGGAAGTAAAATAATATTTTAGACGTGTGCGTTTGTTGTGTTTACTGCATCAGCAAACGGATCACTTTAAGCAGAGAGTTCACTCAGCTGCACAGATTCTTTCTACACTTTAAAAACTGCAACAAGACTCTTCAGGTGGCTTTATGCAAAGCTGTGAGTTATAAGATGTTCCATTTACTTAGCAGCTACAACAAGTGTTACCAAAGTTTCAAGTTCTTGTCTGTAATGAGTCTTCCACTGAGTAAATGGGAACTAGTTCATCTTACCAATAAGAAAACCACATATAGGGTCACCCAGGCAGGAAATAGTCATTCCCATTGCAATCAGTGTCAAGGTTTCTTTTTTTCCTTTTCTTTTGCATAGCACTTAGTTAATAAAGGCCAAAAAGCCAGTGATTTGGCTTCAAGTATTACTAAAGTCAGAGAGAGTCAAGTGTGTTAGAGTCATTTTAGATTTCCAAACAAGGTGCAGACAGTTCAAAGTCTTTGAGGATCCATAATGACTTTTGAGTGAGGTGGATGTTTCAGTGAAACTTGCAGTCATCCAAGCCCAACAGATCTGCCTTCTCCGAGAACAAGTTTTCTGCCACTCTTACCACTGCTACCTCTCCGACGCTCTGGGTAAAGTGAAGCAGGTGATGGGGCACTTCAGGATCATTTTGGAACAGAAGCAATAACAATCATCACGATAACATGGTTAACGAATTACCCATCTGCACCAGCTTGCTGCTTATAAGGCAGAGAAGCCAACCCTGGCTTGTTGCTTATTGTTTCATGAAGGACATAGATGCCACTCTACTCAGGCCATTCGATGCTGGTGGCAGGAAAGCGCCGTTAGTCCAGTGATGCTCTCCAGGAGGAAGGTTTCTGCACAGTAGCCAGAAAAGGTCAAGCTGAGGTGACCGGGCAGGCTTCATCCCAATTGGGGAGCTTAACACTTTGAAAGGCCTGCTTGGTGAGTTATAGCAAGGCTATGGCTTCTGATCATCCCAAATCTTGGCAAGGGAATTAGAGAGGCCAAGAACCCTAATCCCCACATGCCCTGAATGGTCCCAGGGGCCAGAATAATGGTGTGGGGAGGAACTCCAATACGACAAGGGGCAGAAACCTCGGGGAGAGGGTGTCAAACCCCAGTCTGGGGTGGGGGGAGGAAAGAAAGAGGACGCTCAGCGCTGGTGGGGGAGAGGGGAGATCAAACACCCCGGGGGGGGGATAGAGAGGAATCAAAGCGGGGGGTCAAGGCCTAGTCTGAGGAGGGAGGAAGCCCCTTGGTGTGGAGGACAGGGCAGGGTTTAAGACCCAGTCTGGGGGGAGGGGACCCCAGAGGGATGGGGGCAGGGCTGCCGTCTGGGGGGAGCGGGGGCACTGACGGGTGAGGCGGGCTAAGGGGCCGGGCCCCCCCCTGGGGCGGCTGCGAGTTCCCGGCTCCCCCCGGCCAGTCACATCCCCGCCCTGCCTCCGGCCAGCCGCCGCCTGCCGCCTCCCGGCCGGCTCGCCGCCGCGGGGCTCTCACCGGCACCGGGCGGGGGGTGAGGGGGGGTCCGCTCCCGGCTCGGTCAGGGAGAGAGGAGCCCCCGGCACACGGCGGCCATGACGGGAACCTGCTGGCGCCCGAGCGAGGCTGCGAGGGGCGGGGCACGCAGCGGGCGGGGGCGGGGCAGGGAAGGGGGCGGGGGCGGGGCGAAGGAAGGGGAGGAGGAGTGAGAGAAGTGGGGAAGGGGAGGAGGTAACAGAAGGGGAGGGAGGGGAGGTGGCGCGGGGGGAGGGAGACCAGAATCGATAGGGAGGAACTGTACCACAGTCCCCCCTCAGTTTGGGGAGGGGGTCTCTAGTGGGAGTGACCCCCCACCACCACTTTACCATTCCTATGGGACCTTGAGCAAGTGCATGTCAAACTATCCCGTGCCTCTGTTTCCCCACCTGTAGAATAGGGACAATACCACTTCCTTCCTTTCCCCCTTTGGCTGGCGGGGGGGATTAGATTGTAAGATGTATGGGGGAAGGACTTTTGCTATGTGCTCACACAGCGCCCAGCACAACGGTGGGCTCCTGCTTGCCAGACACCTCCTTACAGACCTACTCTGAGCCTTCCTCTCTGACATTATACTTACCCAGGTGCGTGCCATGGAAGACAGTCATTTACCACATTAGGGTATGTGGCCACTGAGATTTCTGCAGCATTTCCACATCTTGTGGCCTGATCCTGCCAGGGGCGCAGTACACCAAGCGGTTGTTGACGTTGCTCTCAGAGAGTACTTGGCACTGCACAGGATCAGGCCCACTGAGTGGGCCTAATTACAATAAACCTAATTACATAAGCAGTAATGATCATTTGTTTTCAATGGTGCCCACTGTTCTCTATGTCTACTCACTCAATGCTGTTCCTGTCTGCTCCTCCAGGCAACCCCATGCAACTCCACTCCTCCTGGCAATTCTCGCTCAGACTGCTCCCCAGGTTGAATCTTTCATCTGACCCATCGTACTTGCTGGCTCACTACTCCCTCAAAGGACTTGTCTACATGGGGAAATTGACCAGAACAACTATTGCAGAATAAACTATTCCAGAAGAACTCCCCCTGTGAACACTGTTATGCTGGAAAAAGATTGCCTTCTTCCGATTTAGCATAGTCCATTTTGGAAGTGGATTAAGCTAAACCAGGAAAAGACATTCTTATATTTCAAGGAAAAAGAACATCCATACAGGGAGTTACTGCAGAATAGCAATCCTGTTTTAAATTCACCTTCTACTTCATTCTGGGACAACTTCCCTGTGTAGACAAGCCATAAATGTCACCTTCTCCCATTAGGTTACAACTGACTCTGTAAAATGACTAACCCCATCTATGTTGTCTACCATGTACCAACAAATTCCATTGTATCCCACCACATTCTACCCATTGTTCCCTGTAATTCTGTCTTGGGCATCTGGCAACATGAGCTTTCCTCCCTTGATTTAGAGATGTCAATGAAGTCCTGCATGGGATTATTTCTCTTATCTCACTGCTGCTTATTTGCTCTTCCCAGAGGATGGGCTGCAAGCTTGAGGTTTCTTTTCCAAAAGCACAAGTTCAGGAACCTGGCAGCATTCTCTGAATGCAGCCATCCAGCTGATCCCCTTAAGCCAATCTGTTTTTCAATGCTGTTTGCAGAATATATCAATCCTGTTGTTGGCTATTTCAGTCATTTAGACTGTCAACTCCTTGGGGCAGGGACTGCTCTATCTCTGTTTCAGAGAGGGACAAGCACAGCGACAGCACTTAAAGATTGCCAAGTCTCTGAAACAATCCGCTCCGAGTTTTAAACTCTTTGCCCATCCCCCAGGGTAGCCGACAGGGCAGACTCATGGTCCTTCATGAGAAGACAGTGATGGATCCTCGTCCCACGAAGGCTGGGATTTTCAATTGTGCCTAAGGGAGTTGGTGGTACCCCATTTTAATGGGAGTTGGGCACCTAACAACCTCAGACTCTTTTGAAAATGCCAGCCTAGGTTCATCTCCCTCTCAGTGCAAGTGATGGGGAAGGACAGGAATCAAAAGTGACCTACTCAGATAAGGGAACATGTCCGTTCAGGAAGTGAATAAAGAGACTATGTGAACCCCAGAAATGCCCTTTGGAAATAGCCTTCAGGGTTTAGTTGTGGGTTGGTGCACTAGCAGGATTTGCATAGACCACTGGAGACCTCTAGCGGCCATTTAGAAAAATATCCGATTATATTTCTTAGAACACATGAAAGGAAATAGCCCCTTACCTGTGCTCATGCTTCTGTTCAGAGGCCCCTGACCAACAAGACCAGTGGGTTAGTTACTTGGCTTCATAGTAATTGATATGTTCACACACCTTCACCTGATTGACATGTCCAAGGAATCTCACTAAGAGCTAGAAACTTCCTCTGCTAAAACCAAAAGGAAACAAAAAGCTCAGATCTGAAACAGACAGGCTGGATTTTTAACTAACTTCTCACCCATCTCTGGCTGTAGATCCATGCATATCAACCTGTGTGACCCACATAGGCATGTGAGAGGAAGATGGGGCTGGTGAAAGACAAACTGGAGCATGGAACATGGTCTTATAACATGCAGGCAAAGACATTGCACATTTTCTGTTAGATAGATGCCCTTCTTTGTTCTTCCTCTGAAAATTGAGCCTGAACATGGGCCATTTTGATTAGAGAGCCATTCAAGAAGAGGCATCACATGCTCCTTGCTTCCTCCATTCCTGAACCTGAGCCTGCTGGTGACAAGAGGAGGTCCCCTGGTTACAGTAGAAAGATAGTCCTGAGCTCTAAATTCAAGCCAAGCAAGTCAGTCTCCACTGGCACTAATCTCATTTGGAAATTGGTTTCTCTCACATCCTTCAACCAGATTAGCTAAACCACTTTCAAGAAAGGCTTAAGCCCATCTGCACTCCCCCTCCCTCAAAGAACCATTAGGGGGTGTAGTGTGAGGTTGCCAGAGGTCCAGAAACATGGCAATATTTTACATTCACATAACAATTTCCAATCAAGCCATGTCTGGATGTCAGCTGACCCAACCCTCCTGGGAGGCAGGGAAGAGCAGTAATTTCATCCCTCAGCCCACTTTTAAACCAGGTTAAGGTGCTGAACGTGGTTTAAAAGCAGAGAGACTAGATAAGGATACAGGGTAGAATGTGGGTAATTCACCTGGCCTCCTTTTACTTGAGTCAATCCCCTTGGAAAGCAGGAACCATTGCTGAATACTTTCTTGCTACTTATATTGCTCCACACCCAATAGCATTTGAAAGCTACGTACTAAAGCTCGGCAAAAAATCCCCCAACTCCCTCCCTCCAGCAACAAACAAAATCTTGACTCAGTGACTTGGGTAAAAAAATACAATCTGCTATCATACAAGGAACAGAAATGCTGCTAACCAATTCTAACATGCGCAGGGTAACGGTGTAAGGACACCCCTGTGGTTAAGTCTTCTTGGGTTGTTTTTCTCCATGAATACTTGAATGGCAGAGGTGCCTGCATCGTTCACAGGCTGCAGCTTTTAAGGAGGTAATCTCTCCAGACTTTTCTTCCCAGCTGGACGATGTGTTTGCCGCAGTGCGTAGTAGGAAATGTTCTCAAACCTCAGCTGCAGATAGTAGCTCTGGTCGCTCAAGGTTCCTGGGCCTTGCTGCATGGCGTGCGTTACATGGAACAGGCAACATACTCATTTAACAGCTGTGAGCTGGAAGATGCAATAGAAAGCTTAGTGCAGCAGGCTGAAATTCTGCAAACTTGAGTGGAAACTGCCACCTAGTGCTTAGTCAAAGGCAACTGCAGGGGGCAACGCGAAGGAGATGGAAGGCAAATTGAGGCATATTTCTGGTTCCCATGGAAAGTCTTGGAGCAAAGGCTCCTGCAGGAAAGGGCTCAGCTGAGGATTTTCAATATCAGTATTAGATTAAACGACAAACAGGACAAGTTTCTTGGTTCTATCAATGGCTTTACACTTTGCAACGGGCCCATCGCAGTCAGAATATCCAAGCACTTTACAAGCCAATTAATTCAGTCTCTGACCCCCCTTATGAAACTGGCATCATCCCCACTTTACAGACAGAGAAAACTGAAGCACAGAGAAATGGCAGACAGTGGCCAAACAGGAACCAGAACGCGAGTCTTGACTCAACGTACCCTGCTCTACTCACTAGCCTCACACCCCCCTGAGGATCCCAGGGAGGACCCACATTTTAAGGGGTGAGGTGTCCTCCCACCTCCCTTAGGATGGCACGGATGGTCTTGACCTAATTCCCCCAGGGATCTCAGGGAAGCAACTACTGTGTAGGAGCCACTGCAAGCAAGGCCACGCTGAGCACACGAACAACACACGGGAGTACCATGCGGGGCAAGATGCCCCATGGAGGGAGGTGGGCAAAGTCTTGATGGAGAGTGGAGGGAAAGGCAGCCAGCAACACCTTAGCAAGGGATACTTCAGCCACTTCTGCACAGGCAGGATGAAGAGATGGGACCCAGCAGGACGTAGTGCGGCCATTGATGTCCTTGTACAGGAAGGCCTTGACCTAAGAGTGGTTCCTTAGTGAGACCCAGTTCATCATGGTGGGACACAAGCTCATCCAAACAAACGACTCTCAGATTCTCTCTCAAAAACCATTCTTTATTGAAGATTTAAAAAAAAAATAACTCTAGTAGGAAACAACAGCTAAATCCTTCACGACCAGAGGAGCTCACAGTATCAGACCTACGAAATAAAACGCTTGGGATCATCACTTCCACGCATGGGATGGGAAGATGCCTTTTGCTCTGGAGGATCAAGGCACCTTGCCTGACTACTACCTATGGGCACTCAATATGCAGTGAGATGGCCACCCAGCACCAGCGGGTTTTTGTACCATTCTATGAGCTATAGTGTAAGCACAGAAAATGCAAGAACTGAACATCCAAATCCAGTGTGTGTTTGGAAGGGGGCAGAGAGATCCGCACAGCACGCTGACATAACCATTCACAGGCTTGGCAACGAGTCCTGTCCTTTGGAGATGGGTAGCCGCAATGTGGGTCTTGAGGGGTAAAATGTGCATCTTGAATAAAGGACACATTGGTAGAGCTCCTATCACTGTCAAGGTCAACCACTGCTAGGACTGCTAACCCGATCTTGGGGGGGGGTGAGG